TAAGGCTTTTGTAGCTACAACTGAAGCAATGAGAATTGTACGTGCACTTAAGCCGTAACTAGACTCTTAACTTGAGGCCAGCTTTTGTAAGTTTGAAACCCTTTGTTGTTAAAAATCAAAGAGGGAAGATAAAAGTCAATGTTTTGAGTACAACTTAACTTGATAAGTTACCACAAATTTATTTGACCTTACAAACTTTTACTGATATATGAAAATTTCAGATGTATTCCTTCTAAAACTGTTTACTTGCTGTGTTCATTCAATGTTCTCATTGGGTAAAAAAAATTTAGCTTTTATATTAAACTTGGAGGGTTGCTTTTGTGATGATATAAAAGGAAATGTGATGGTGGGTCATTAAGTGTTATAAAAATAAAGTAGCTATTACTTAATACAGGAGCTTTGTGTGTGAAGGTAGCCAGAAACTGGCAACCAAAATGCATATGAACCCACAAGGTGATTTTGAAGGCAGAATGAACTGTACTTATATGTTTGAATTAATAACTCTATTCCAAATTTTCTGTAGAAATAATGGCTATTGTGTAATTATTTGCCATTTCTAAATGGATATAAATTGTCTTTCAGGGTGAAGAATATAGCATAGGGCCAGGAACCTACATTGGTCTTCAGGGCTTTATTGATTCTCTGCAGCATGATGTCACTGATATCAAAAAGCAGGCAGAAGAAGCATACAGGTACATTGTGTCCTTAGAGGACCCACAGGAAGCTATAGGCTGGCTTGAAAAACAACTGGGAAAAATTACCACTGAACTAATTCAGACCAAAGAAGACCTGACAAAGAAAAACAATGAACTAATCAAAACTGAAGAAGAACTGACAAAGAAAAACAAAGGTGAGCTGGGTGTAAGTGTGATGTGAAAGGCGGAAAAAAGAAATGACTGGCTACTGTAAAATAGAAACAATCAGTTCCACAGGATTTTGGAACCAAAGAGTATGTGTAGAGATGATAAAAGATTGTTTTGTATATGTTCAGGTTGAATAATTCAGTAGACCATGACTCTTTCTTTAAGACAGAACTTAAAACTGTCAATTGCAGACTCTGGAATCGTGGGGTAAAATGTCAAAATTATTGATTCTTGATTTCGTAGTTATATTGTAGTCCCTGCACTTCTTTACATTTTGCTGATGTGGTATTTTCAGGTATCCTGTGGAATGTTCATAGAGGAAAAAGTCGCAATACCTCATAATACAATTTCAGCAGAAGTCGCTTGACATGTTCTGTATTTTAGATGGGTTGCAAGGCTCAATTCTCCTGTTCAAATAACCTAAACAAATTTTGAAATGTGTCCTGTAAGTAGGAGTCAACACGAAAATAAATCAGTCTATTCAAAAGCTTCTGAGGTACCAGAAGGTCTGGAAAAAAGGATTATTGAGTAAAGTATGTAATGACTGCTTACTTGATGCAGGCTTCTTTTCCTGTTACAGACTTTGAAATGCAGATGATTAAATTGGATGAGTCTGCTGAGCAGCTTAAAGAAGCGACTGAGGTAACTTTCTCAAGGAAAAACTTGTGCAAAATTATTTGCTTTAATACAAAATTCCAGTAGCTTAAAATGCTATTATAGTATGCTTCTGGCTTTTTTTTTTATATGAAGCTTAGTTTAACTGATCTTGCTTCTAAATGCATAGTATAGTTCAACAATTCAACACTGATGACTGAACTAGTATTCTTTTCTTTTTCAAGAAAATGAATACACAAAATAAAAGGATTCAAGAACTAATGGACATTGTGGAGCAAAAAGATGATATTATTATGAGACTACAAGATTTGATATCCAGTTTAGAAGAAACTATAAAAGACTATGTAAGTCTTAGACATCTCAGTTTTCTTTATACAAAAAAAATCTAAATCTGTGCTTATAATCAACTTAACTATTTTGGGAAATGAAAATTTTCTGTAAGTAATTGCTGCTTGCTCAAACTGGTAGCAGGTGAGTTGGCAATGAAGCTAAAGTTGCAGCAAAATGTGTGCAGGGGTATGTGTTAAAAATGGGACTTTTGGAAACTGATCTGGAGTTATTATTAGAGGATTGTAGATGAGACTGAAGAGCCACTCAGAGAGAAAAAACAAACAAACAAAACCAGCAACAACAACAAAAACCTCAAACTGGGAGGACTTAAGCAGTGGGAACAAGAGGGACTACATCACTGTCTCTATTTTTGCCTGAATGGAAGTTTTGCTGCAGCAAAAGATCAAATTTAATTGAAGTTAGAAATTAATAATGTAAGAAGGACAGTGAATGTATAAATTAGCAACAAAAATCAGTGTGTTCACCCACCACCACCATACACACACTTTCAAAGAGCAATAATATGAATATATTAAGCAGAGTTTGAACAAAGAGTGGATGGCCAGGGTATCTCTGCTTTTGATATGACTAATAAAACTTTCAACTGGATAGTCTACTGCTAGCTGCTGAATGCCAAAAGACTAGTTTGGCTGGGTGTATACAGATTAAAAGTCAAAACATGCAGTGGTGTTTTTTGAGACTGATGTCCAGTAATCTGAAATAGTTTTGAGAATATTTTAAATGAAACTTAGCACTCATCTATTTCTCTCTTCCACTGTAAACTTAAGGCTTTGACCGTACTTAATCTTCTGTTCCCTCTCTTTGCCCCACAGCAGCTTAGCTTTTCAATAGTATGAATGCTCTGAGAGTGATAAGAGTAGTAATAGGAAGCAGTCATCACAACTCCTTTCAAGAGCAAGGCTCTGTCTCTGTCTAGTGTTTCTATGAGACTGTGTGACATGAAACCTAAAACGTGACCGCAAACCTCAAGTCTGTTCTATAGTTTTTTTTATGAAGTGCTTAAAGATGAGCAATTGGTCCTTGGCAACCAGCATGGCTTACTACTTGTGTCATCTTACAAGTAAAAAAACTTTATTCTTAGTCAAATATATAGTCTAAAGTATCTATGACAGAACTGACCAGGCTTTCAAATTGCATCAGATCTGTCATGATAAAAATGATCTGTGGCTTTGCTGAAGGCAGTTAAAACTCCCAACTCTACCAACTATGACAAGAAAGCGGTGAACTTGTGAAGCTGACCATTTGCCCTTTCAACGAATCAGGAATTTCATCAACTCTTTTGACACTGGAAGTTGTTTTCAGGCGATAAGCAAACTCCTCTTACAAGCAAATCTTGCATTTTGTTAGTTTCCTGATCTCTTGTTCTGCTTTCTATACAGTGCAAAGCATAGTGCTTATTAGTGTCTGAAGGTGTATCTGCTTTTGGTTTAAGTAACTGATCTGTAACTGACTTGTTCCTCTGACAACCCCTATACTTGTTACCCAGATAGTTTTGTAAAATTATTTGCATATAAAAGATTAGTAAGCCTTTTAAGTGGTCACTTTGTAAAACTTAAAAGTAATTCATCTTATTTTAACACAGGACAACACTGTAACTACTATTAAAAGAAGATTGGCAGAAAAGAGCTCTAACAGAGTGATTGACAGCAACCAACTCAAGGATTGTGAGAAAATGGTATTGGAAGCGGGAAGAAAACGTTGCTTTGAAAACAAGCCTGCTGTGGAAGAAGAGCCACCTACAAAGAAAGGTACACTTTCTACCATCACTGAACAGGGGGTCTTCCAAAAAAACTTGATTGCTATTCTAGAGCAGAAGCAAAAAGCTGTGAAACATAAATGTTATGTTATGAGGAGAAAATCTACTATGTTAAACTGTAAATGAAAGTAATTGTTCTGTAAATATTATCTGTTTTGCAGAAAGTCCTATACTATTAGCTCCTAAATACTTAAGATAAAAGTTAGCTTTTAGATTCTTTCCTTTCTGCTGCTTTTTCTCATCTGTTAATGTACCTGCAGAATCAGCTCTCGTTCTTCAAAAACTAAAATATATTGTGTAACAGTTGTTTTTGTACTAAACTTGTTGTTGCTGGATTTCTGGGAAAGTAGCATCTCCTGCTCAAGTCTTTTAAAATTGTCTAAGTAAGCATCAAAGGTGTCAATGACTTGATTGTTCAGTCCTACAATGTGTGCTGTGAAACTTGATGCTTCATTCTGTATGCATGCTGTGAACACACCAGCTCTGGTCAAGGTGACAATGCTGGTAAAGGAGAAAAGCTTTCCACTTCAATGGGAGTAAAATTATTTTAAGTCCATGCATGGCGTATTTTGTGCACCTCTCACACTTGCACTTCCAGTCTTTTTGCTTTCCTTGCTTTATCTGTGAGCTTACCAGTCTTTTTTGAATGAGGTGAATAAAGTAGCTGCAGTTGAACACCTTCAATGATAAGGGTGAAACTTAAAAGGACACCACTACTTATGTTATCCATTTCATTAAAGTCTATTAATCAATGAGATTGAACTGTATGGGACTAACTTGTGCAAAATGGCATCTGTAAGTTCTGTCTGCCTCTAACTTGACTTCACGACACAGCTGGGCTTCAGTTTTCCATAGAACTGTGGAAAATATATACAAAAGGAGAATGAAAAGTCTTTCCTTTGTGTCCCTTAATTTCTTGCCTTCCTCTTGCAGAATAGGTACAAGTAAGAAAATCTTATAGGCACTGTTTGGTTGAGGATGGGATAGAAAAAGAGAAATAAGATTAAAAATGGGAAGCAGAAAATACTGTCTATAAAGAGGGATAAAACATGTTAAAAGGAGACTGGTCAAATTCACATGATGACAGAAAACTGGTGATACATATCGTGAATAAACCAAATGCTGGACTGTCATTCATCAATTTCTGCAGTAGAAGAATAAGGGAACACTCAATCTAGTAGAAGATCACTTTAAGTTTATGGAACAAAGCACTTCACACAGTGGGTAGTGAACTTCTAGTAGTTGCTGCCCTAGGAGGTGGGAGAGGCAGATAATTCTCAGATTCCAGGAGTGGTTAGACAAGCTGACAGCCAACAGGTTCATACATAAATACTGAAAGGGTTAAGCAGGGTTGTATTGTCTCATTCTTCCATGACTTCCTATTGTTCTATGTCAGGAAAGGTCCGTAGGAAGTGACTGGGCCTACCAACAGTAACAAAAGGAGGCAAAATATTAGACTAGGTCAACTGATGGTGTGTGAGTAGGGCATGCCTGATGTTTGTACAACTTGTTCAAGTAAGCATAATTTGAAGTCTGTCTTAAGAGAAGCCTTTTTTCTCTGTACCGGATGCATCTCTGATTTGTCTCTACCACCTTTGATTGGGATGAATATTTAATTCTAGCATGACTGTTTGATGGTGCCATCTATATAAATGCTACAAGAAGGGGGTGGGAAAAGAAGCAGCTGATGTAGACTCCCTGATATACTAGATAGTAGTAGGTTTGTTATAATCTCATGGCTGAAGCTTGCTTAAACTAACAAAAAGTACAAAAGTGATAGCTTTTCTCAAACAAGAAATTAAAGTGGATAGCTAACAGTGCCAATTAATATCAGCACTGAGATATTTCTCTTGGGAAGAACAGGTTTATTCCGTCATGTTAAATATGTTTCTTTTGTGAGTGAGAATATAAGGCAACTGATTTAAGAACAATTCTTAGATGCTCCATAATGGTGAAATTTGTTAATGTATAGGCTTACATTTAACCATTCTCATTAAATGTACTTGGCACAATAGAACAATGAGCACTACTACACTGTGATGGCTTTCTTGTAGAATTTAGATATGCTAGTAGCCTATGATGAAAGTTTATTTTGGGACAATATAGGTTACCTTGTCTTAAAGTTCATGTTTTTGTACCCTTCTCTAAGACTTGTCTCCCATGTTTTGGGGTGGGGCTCTTTCTTACTTAATACTTCCTACATAAAAAGCTTCTGGGTTGAATAACATGTATCTCCTTGTCTAATATTTATACTGTTTTGCTACTTGATTGTGGTTGTCAGTGCAAAGCATCTAGATCACTTCTTAGTTCTTTTGTGAATGATCATACCCTTCTCACTCTAGGTGCTGGGCTAAGCTCTGCTACTTTTTTTTTTCATCTTGCCACCTTAGATCACAAAATAAGCCTGAAGACACCACAGCACCTCTCCCTTTTAGTGAAGTATGTAAAATTCATGTCCAGTGTAAGGAATATGTAGTATTTCGTCTGTTATGTTTTCTTGGGACTACACAACTGGGCTTTCAGAGAAAACCGTCTCCCAGTCCAAAATTTTTAATCTTGTCGGATTTGGAAGCATGGCTTTACAAGGCAAAGTAAAGCTGCAGTTGTGTCTGCCCTAGCAGAAGTACTTGATATATCTAATTAGAAGGGAAAAGAAAAGGTATAGAGAAGCAGGAGGAAGAAAGAGTTCTGTGGAATTTGATCACTCTAAAAAAAAAAATAATCAAAATCTGAATTGAGTTGGAAAATACTCTTGCTAATGCTTCAGTATGACTCAGTGACTCTGTAAAACTTGTTGGATCTGTTCAGAGGATGTTTCCATGCAGTACAGATGTGCTTAATGCTCCTGAACCGAGATGACTGCCAAACTGCGCCTTACTGTAGTTGCAGTACTCACAAGAATCCATAGTTTCTCCCTAAAGTACATAGTTGTGACAATCTAATCCTCAGATATAGTCAGGCTTGATTTTAGTACTAAAACATAGCATGCATGTTACTAAATGGAAATGGTTGGATTCTAAAACACTTGTGTGAAATACAGCTGAAGTCAATTTTGAAGGTGTTGAAATGCATGTGATTTTAGTTAGAATTGCTCATTACTTAGTGGAGAAAAAACTGTCTTGAGCTAATAAAATATTTATGGAGATTTGGGGTTGTGATGGAATATTGTACATATTTCTGGGAGAACTTTACGTGCAACACATTAGATGTGGGCATAAATAGTTATCCTTGTACCTAGTTTAGAAACCAATTGAAAAAAGAAGAAAGGAAGGTCCCAAGCACCAAGCAAAAATTTTGTGCTGGATTTTTAGCTTCAGTTTTAAAGCAAGGAGACATTGAGCATGAATGAAACTTTTCAGAAACGTATATGATACCATTACTGTTCTAAATGTAGAATGGCTGATGGCTAGCGGTATTGAAGGGATTGTCGAAGCAGTGAAGGTGGAAAGTAAATATAACTCTGAATATTATCTAGCTCACAGGTATTACTACGTATTAATAAAACTAGCTAGATTTTTCTACTAGCAGTGCAGAGTAGAAGGGTGGGATAGAGCCATGGCAAAGTGTTTAAGGCTCCTGAACACATCTTGCTGCAAGTTGTCTAGAAGCCTAAGAGGCACCTATTGCATGTTAAAGCATTCAGAGGGCTTTAACTACTTCAGGACTCCAAAATGCCATATGATATGAGGGTGCAGCTTTCAGGTGGTTACCATTTTCCATATAGTAATTGCTATTTGGTATTGCTAGTGACTTGTACTTTTGATTTTAATCAACCTGAGCTGTATGGTTGGTTGTTTGGGTCTTTCTTTCTTTAGGAGATATGAAGGACAGTTGGAAAGATGACTCTCTAGAACAAAAGAGGAGTGAATACGTGAAAACAAACACTTACAAGAACTCTGCAGAAATACTAGCACTGAAGGAAAGAACTGAAACCTTGGAAGGTCAGGTAGCTGCACTTGAAGAGCAATGCAGAAGAGAAAAAAACAAAAAAGAGGAGTTCAGTGGGCAGATAACAAACTTGCATCTCAAGCTCTCTGCTTCTGAAGAAAGGGCTTCTGGCTTAAGTGAAGAACTTCGACAGTGTCGAGCTGGCTATCAGGAGATTGTTTCTGAATTGGACAAACAGAAAGCTGTAAATAGGGAACAAGAAGAAAAGATTATTCAGCTAAATAATGAAGTAGAATGTGCCAAACAAAATATAATTGATAAAGTGTCACAAATTAAAACAATGCAGTCCAAAGCAGATGAGTTGTATAAATGTCACTTAGAGTCTTATGCTACGGATATTGATCTAGTTAATCTAAAGAATTCCTTAGACTCTCAAAAAGATGAACCAGAGAGCACTCATTTGAGTCCTGTGTGCGTGCAGTCCCAAACTGCTGCTACAGCAGGTCTGAGACAAGAGAGCTCCTTTCACTGCAGCGTTGAGAGCATTTGGGAAGAATGCAAAAATATTATTAAGATTTCTTCACAAAAAAGTCAGCAGATTCATGAACTACTTCAACAAGTTGCAGACTTAAAGAGGGGACTTGATGACACTGAGAACTATAATAATCAACTAAAAATAAAATTAAATGAGATTGAAAATCAAGATCATCAGTCCATAAAGGAAAAAGATCTTATGAATCAGTTACAAGAGCAAATCCAGAAGAAAACCCAAGATTTTGAAAAACAGGCTGCAGAAGATCACAGAGTAATTGCACAGTTTGAGGAGGATGTTACCAGCTACAAGGGAAAAATAAGAGAGCTTGAATGTCTCTTGGAGGCTTTTAGAGCTAAAGATAACAGCATAACAAAGTTAGAAGAAGTACTTAAAGAAAAAGAATCTATTATTTTAAATCTAGAAAGTGATACAGTGGCTCTGCAAGAGAAATGTGCCAATTCAGACAAAAAACTGAAAGAATTAAATGGTCAAGAAGCAAATCTGAAGGAGGAAGTTGTGCGGCTGATGAACAGCTTGGAGAACATGAAGCACTCTCTTCAGGAAAAGGAGAAAAATGAGAATGAGCAAATACGATCTATAGAATTGTAAGTAAATAATGAGGGTAACTCATAGCACTTTTCAGAATAATCTCAAATTACACCTACCTTCTGTGAACATCAGTTTATTTTGAGATAAAACATTTGCATGTTTATCAACTGTTAACCAAACTGCTTCTTTAAGAAGTCTTAATACACTACCTGAATTTTGTATTTGCATATTCTGCTGACTGTTTTCCTTATCTGCTGCATGTTCTTTCAAAAATATAGATCCAAGTCATGTGGAACTACTGTAGCCAGACACAAGAGCATATAAGGAAATAAAGAATTATTTGGAGATTTCTGGTAGTTCTATGTTGTGTACCCTTTCTGGAGGAAATAATGTATATTTTAATGTAATATCCTGTAACTTGTATAAAAGCAGGCAATGTTTTGTTTCGAAAAGACTGAATGGTGAAAAGGGGGGAAAAAAAAAAAAAGCCCAGGGAGTAAACAGCAAACAGCTAGTTTTGGTGATAGCTATTTTAGATGAACAGAGTCTAGTGTATGAACTTGAAGGAATAATGGGTGTAGGAGGGTAGAACTTCCCCCAGGCCCCTCTGCTTCTTACATTTAATCTCTTATTTCTTAAAGATTTATCTGAGAGATTATATTTGCTATATGGTAATGAAATCGCAATCATATAAAAATAGCTTTAAGATGCTTTGTAGCCCTTCTCCTGACTCAGATTTCTTTAGTCTCATATCTGTGGATGCCTGCATATACTCTGAAGTTCAATTTAGCATGAAGGTCTGGGGATACCTAACCCCGTGCTTGTAAAGCTTTGAAAAGTGTTCCTTTTTTCAATTATAGAATCTAAAAAAACCCTTCTATTAGTTAGTTTTAAAGTAAAAATCCAAGATGTCTTACTGTAAAGTTTTTAAACAAATATGACCGTTTAAAAATAAACCCATCAAGCTTCTTAATTACTTTGTAGCACTTGTAATACCAGTACTTGTTGCAATGTTGGTTTTTTTCTCTTTTCTTTTAAGTTTTGTTTATTTTGATCCTTACAAGGTTAGTTATCAAGTTTAAACTTACTTGATGTTGATCTTGTTCCTTTTGTTACTTTGTAAGGACACCTAAGGACACCTAATGGCTGCTCTACTGTGCTTAAAAAAAAATTTAAAAATTTGCAGTGTTTAGAAGTGAACCTGAGCAGATTGTTACTTCGGGATTATATAATAAGAAACTGAAATCCAGAAGTAAAATTATAAAGCTTGTCATTGATCTGATAGATCGGAGATTTTATTCATGAATAAAACCAGCCGTCAAAGAGCCTGAGTTAATGTGCAAAAACTGTTTCTTTGAGATGTGTGACATTAATATTAATTTATGTCTTTTAATTTCTAACACAAGGCTACGTAAAGATCTTTCTGAGAGCTCTGGCCTTGTACAGAGTTTGAAAAAAGATTTGCAGTGGAAAGAGGAAGAATATACAGATTTGAAAGAGAAATTTTCTGATGCCAAGAAACAAATTCAGCAAGTACAAAAAGAGGTTGGTGACCATAGGGCAAATGTTTCTTCTGCAAGTTTATGCTTCGGTTTCTGTTATTAAAACCTGTTTTCACAAATTTCAAGCTACTAATATTAAAAATGATTCATAATAAGGCAATTTTGGGTGAGACATTTAGAGTTACAGTGAGTCTTAAGTTACATTGCCATTGAAGCTGTAAGCTAATGGTAAGACCAGATGTCAAAACATGGATTATTACAGATATTGAAAGAAGGATGTAAATTTTATGAATATCCTTGAAAAAGATTTGTGAAAACTATGGCTCATCTGGTTATGGAAGACTATAATATTTATAACAGCATCAATGCGTTGTTATTTGTGCTGACTTCAAAGCCTCAGGCTTCAGACTTGTGGAAAACACTGATGTCTGAGAGGAAAAGGTAGATTAATCAGAAAAGGAGAGCACTAACTTTTAGAGACTTTTTCAAATCTGAGCTATGTTTTCTATAAAGGTTGGGGAAAAGAAATGAAAAAATAGAATAACTTTCACTAATGATAACTGTTAGTATTTAGTTATCAAGCAGTAAGATTTCTTAGAACCTCATGGGATATTGGAAGAACTTAGTCCAAAAGACTGTTGCAAGAGTTTGAACTTGAAAGTTAAGCCTTAAAAAAAGTATTAATGTCTTACCCGGCAGCCTAACATTCCTATTCAACATTAAGTGTATAATCCTCTGTTTGAGAAGTAGCAAGGAATGGATGGGATAGCATGTCAGAAATTTCTTTTTTTAAAGGACAACTGAATTGCTTGATTAGGCTATTACCTGGTGGGTTGAGGTTTTTTTGTTTGTGGTTTCCCCCC